AGAGTAGTTGACATCTGCAAATTAAAGTGCACGACAGACTGCAATATATCACAAGAAAAGGGCTCAGGGAACAGGACAGTGAATGAAAACCTGAGACCTGCATTAAATTGCTAGTTTGGCCATTGCCTTTCTGCGTGATGTGAAAAAATGGGTATATATTAATACTTCCTATCTTGTTTTGAAGATAAAACTCATTAATTCCTATGAAGTGCTCATATATTACAGCACTGTGGTGGGAAATAAGCAAGTAGAATCTAATTGCTGTTGCAGGATAAAGCTTGCAAAATGCGTATTACTGACTGGTGAACTGAGGGGTTAAAGATTGATTGTTTTACCTGAGAAACCAAAAGGCCCCAGGAATGATTGCTCTTCACAAGCTTGATTTTTTTTTTAATCCAAGCAAACAAAGTAATTAGATGGAAAAAGGAACCTCTAGACAGCAGATGACAAATGAGACAGAAGGATGACCTGAGTATGGTGCAAAAACAGAAGGAACAGAAGTAAAATATATTGGAGAATATTAACATAGACCGGGAGAAAAACAAACAAACAAAAAGATTTACCTTAGAGCAACCTTCTGATAAAAAGGAATAGAAGAAATCATATTTTTAAAGGGTTTCATGAAGGCAAGTAAAGATGAGCATGATAAATTTCTTATAATTCTTTAGACAACTAAATAATATTTAAGAGATTCATTATAGGAACTTGGTCAATGGAGAGAAACAGACACCAAGAAGTGACCCATCCCACCAGAGATATCTGCATGTATATGTTTGTAGGTATGTGTAAGAAAGAACTTTTTTTAAAAAAAAACACTTGTAAAATTCTACATAACAATGCTTTATTTGAGGTAATCATTGGCTTAGTAAATCAAAACAATGAGATGCAAAAACAAGAAGAAAAGAATTAATTAAGTATAAAAGTTTAAATTCAGGAAAAAAAATCTATTAAAAGTAGAGTTGTAAACAAAACCAATGAAGAATGATGATGCACCATCGATAGCGCACTTCCTTCCATGGAGCATGCAGAGAAGGAATCACTGTTAAGAGCGAGGGAAGAAAGGATGAGCTGACAGTAAAAGCTAGTAATTATGCTGAGCACCATAAGCAGATAGTGGTTACAAATAAACTCTATTAACCAAAAGGGAAGATGGATGATGGCAGTCATTGTAACCACAGCCATGGGACTGGATCATCCAAAAGGGACAGCAGACAAGATATTCCATGGAGGCCATCTGGAAAACTCCAGTACCTTAGTGTGAAATGTTATTGTATCTTCATCTTCATCTTCATTCATTCTTAGTGTGAAATGTTATTGTATCTTCATCTAAAAGCAGAAAGATCTCAGTCCCACCAAGCCAAGAAGGATAAACAGTATCCCAACAATAACTGGGATATAAAAATCTGCTGTCTAGGTACCTGGATAAGCTTTGATCTAAAACTCGGGGAGCCCGAGCCTAGACCTGAGCTCAAGCTCGAGCCAGCTGTTGAGTGCCAGTGAGGCCTGGACACACTGCTGCCTGCTCACAGTGTCAACAGTTCAACTGAAAACTAAGCTGTTAAAGACTTTACTATCAGCTACAGGACAAATCATCTTCCTGTCCTCCCTCCTTGGGTGATTGGCAAAGAAAGGTTACTCCAAAGTGTGATCCACTGCATGATTTGCTGTAGAAAAGTTTCTCTGTGGGCTACAGAAAGACACTATGGACGTCGGCCTTCTAGGCTAAAATCACCCTTTAGGAATACCTTCTCTCTACCAAAAATACCTATGGTACCTTCTCCATTCCAAGCCATTT